ACAGGGTTAGAAAACAGCAAGATGCTGCTACATACGTGGTACGCAAGGATCAAATTACTTCTTCCACGCTATAAATCCTATTGATCCTCCAACGTAACCTTTCGACGTGCTCTCCCGGGCGGCTTGCGCAGGTTGTGTCTGACAAATTAAACTACCGAACCCACAGCATAGCGCATCCGTTTATGAACCACTCCGGAGATCTGGCGCCTGTTTGATGTCTCTAGAGTTGGTTGTTAAGCAGTTTCAGGCAGCCCGGGAAAGGGTACCAAACTTGATTGGTATGTCCGCCATGAGTATACTCGTCACCGCCGTAGTACGAAAAGCGACAGTCAGTTGCGATTGGATACTTGTATCGGTATCATATAGATAGATCAACAAAGGTGCAGAATTCATGCAGCTGGCGTCATTTGCGATATGGAGCATTGCCTATTCGTGAAATACGCTTCTATTTTACGGCGTCGCACCCAATGCATAATCCTCTAGAACCCAAGCAATAAGCTGACATATCATTAATCCTACGAACTTATGCGTCACCGTTTCCTGGAACTCTAGGGAGAACTTGGTCTAGTCTAATATATAGGAACTTGTATAGTCCTTCATCAAACTCGGCTTTCTTTCTTACTCCAATATTGGATATTATTGTTAATTACCGGAACTACTGTCCATCTATCTGGTTCCTTCACCCAGCGGAGATTGTATACGTGCTTGAGGGAAGTATAGGCCCGATTCAAATTCACCAGGTGTAGGGTGATGATGAATAGCAACGAGAAGCAATTTGGGTGCCAAGGCTGTTAACACAGAGCGCGTTGTGAATTTTGCATCTCGCAAGGCCATCAGCGTCCCAGTGAGAAATAGGCACCAGGAACTTACAGCCTGACAGATGAAGCACAAAACTCGACATAGAACTAGGTGGTGTAGCGGTCGCGATGATAGGATGATAGACCAAAAATAAAAATAAAAATAAGGGAGAAAGGTATTACTAGCATAGCATATTCCAAAAACTCGGGCCTTTGAATAGTTCGTGAAACGTCCTCGAAGCATTCCATAAGGTAACTGTTATCAGATTATCACCTAGGTACTTGACTTGCTATACGGAGATATAGCTATCGAGGACAACAGCACGAAGAGTTATCTGATTTAGGTGTCTGCTAATGTCCTCACCATACCTAAGTAGTTCCGGTAAGTTTTGTCTATTGTCCACCTAGCTCGGCACTACTGTTATGATAGTATCTACACGATCTAATGGCCCAGGTATCATTACATCCGATTTCAACTCCGATGAAGCGGTGTGTAGGTCGTGGCTGTCCTACGCCAGACGGAAAACGATTACCCCCTAAATGCCTACGAGCTCATCACCGACGTTAACACGACAGATTATTGGTACATAAGGCTTGCGTAATCCATTTGAAACCAAGAGTAGCAATGGATAACTCTAGGCACGCCCTAGTAATTGATACAGAAATTGCATGGTGTCGGCTAATAGGGGCAGGCTCAGAATGGTCTTAATTTCTCTACATATTGATGTGAGCTGGTTCTCGTGGAAAAGGCTCCCACCTGATTCGTTTGGCAAGCCACCAACAGTTGCCATAAGTCTTCGTTCTTTAGGCTTCCACTGTGACTCATGCTGGTCATCGGTATTCATATCGCATATACCATAAGTGGCGGAATTATCAGGGCTCAATTATGCTTCAACCAGGAGCACAACTTGATGCCCGACAACTGCGGAATGCCTTCCATTTTGGTACCTGACCCAGTATATCCTAGTCCAGCGAGCTCACCGGCATCCGCGAAACACTCGGTCTGGATATGAAGCCCTAAGGCATTATACGCAATCCAAGCAGTCGCCAATATGTCGTCACTGTTGCGTACGCTCCGAGATATCCCTGGGTTCGACACCTCCCTCGAGAATAAACCAGGGCTTGTCCATGAAGAAACTGATAGGCAGCAAATCGTTTGAATCAGCTCCAGCCAAATGACCAATGAAGGCATTACGGAAATGCGCTGTCATATCCGTGGAAATATTCTAGGAGATGTTAGAGGATACTAAGTGGCCACATGTCTTTAGAACTTATAAGTGAGAATTGCTTTAGATGGTTCTTGGGGCTTAAGCCTCATGCGTCCCCGCGATCTTATGGGGCGATCCAGAGAATGTGGCCCAATGAGGAGGATCTCAAAGCCACTCAAGTTGCAGATTAAGTGATCGTGGCAGATTTGAAGAGTGAGATGTGCCAAGACTCATGCAGCCCCCCGAGAAAATGTATGCTTTAAAGTGCCTATCACATACTATCAGAGTCAGCTGGTATGAACACATGCCTACACATGACTACAAATGGCGTGTCTTCGACGATATAGTAAGTTCCTTATACCCGTATACGCCACGAGCGCCGGATGGCATGACTTCCCAGGCATGCCAGTCGGTCGGATGCCTTCCGGTGACAACTTGCGTAAGAGTCAAAAAGTCATTTGTCAACAGGCCTTGAATTCTATGAGGCAAGACTTAGCTATCGATCATTAGTGACCATTTAGCAAACAAGGCGCAACTTGGGTTGGAGGAAGGTCATTACTGTAACCATATCATCGTGATTTTTTAGGTGATCTCTTGAACGCGCATTTGAAGAAAAATACCTTGTCAATGTTCCATCGGTCATTTCTGACCCCCAAAGATCGAAGAGATTGCTACAAATGACATCAAAGGTAGCAACTGTTCTCTCCTTGCATATCAAGGCAAGAAAGAAATGACTATATTGAGACACTGAGAGTGGGTTCGATTTACAAAAATATACCCCGGCGTTTAGGGAATGTATTTGTAGTAGCATCGAAGAATACTCCGGAGAGCCTCCTCTGTAATAATGAGGGGGCGGCCACTAACGACCCCTGTTCGACCCCTATTACATTGATAAAAAAATAAGTCAAATAAGGTGATGACAGTGATGACAATATTGACAATGATGATAACTATAGCTCTCTTCATTTGACGCAAAACCAAACAACAGATTGCCAAACGCAATATTCGATTATTTAGGTATTTGCTCTGGCTTCTCATTTCCTCGAGTTCCTAAATATTCATTCCCAATGAAACCAAAATATAAAATCCTACGCAAGACTCAGAAATAGGTACAGATCCCGTTCGCCACCGTAAGGTTAGAAACAATTTGCGGCCCCCTACCTAATGGCATTGGCCCTTCCTTCTTACTGAAACTCTCTTGCATTTATCTAAACCATAAGTGTTGCTGACTACGCTGTTTGTAACAAGAAGGATTACAGATAGAGGTACCTCATTGGATGGGCGGCATTAGGAAGATCTGCGGCGCAGTTCCTACGGACCCGAAGGCCTAGAGGTTCGCAACCCATACCTAAACAGCCTAACCAAAATCCGAATTTTATAGCAGGTTGTCCCAGGTATCCTACACGGCAACCCCAGGAATTCAACCAGGGTTCGTGACTTGAATAGCAATAGACGAGCAGCCTGTGTAACCTCCCCCCTAAATATCTCATGAATGTTTAACATCGCTGCTCTCGAAATATCCGCGGGTAATTGTTCATTGAGCTGATCACTAATTATATCCGTGTCAGCTTCAGCATACCGTCTATGCTTTAACTTTCGGGACCGTAGGCGGATCCAAGGGATTATATCTAGATCTATGGAGAGCGGAATAGGTCCGATGAGACTATCTTCCATGAATTAAAGATATACGCCTATAGGTTGACTACGCCTTGTAGGTATAATTTTATCTATACTGACAGGGCTGAAAATTCACTTCGGTCCATTCTTACGTAGGTGCCTTTCTCCTCGGGCGTCAGAAGACTTGGCCTTGATAGAATCCCGCCCACCATATCAGAATACACGCGCATTCCGTACGCAGGACTCGATTAGCCGACCACTAGGCCATTCCCTCAATGCATTGAAACGTAAGGGTTCAACGCAGTGCAAGGGCAGCCAAATGAAGATGGATGATTTGAGACCCAGCTATCTGAGCGTTTCGAGAGCCGCAGGAGGATCCTAATGAAAACAACTGCCGCCGGGAACGACCCCCCGGCTCTGTATATAGAAACTTCAATCTTTTAGATCCTACACAGGCATATCCGAATTGCTATGGACCACGATCCGAACTGTGAAAGGAAATGGGTCGACCCCTCGGGCACATGCATTATGTACCGACTCTTTTCAGGGTTTGGCTCTGCCCTATGACAACCATGACCGAATAGTATGGAGATGTCAGGATGCCACAACGCTGCGGTGCCAGTCGAAGTGCTTTGTACCCGTCTGCACGTGGCATTTCGTCCTCAAATCGATGCTAGTTCGATGTTAGTCAAGTACTTCTCGGAGCCGGGACCCGGCCGCAGATGCTGGTGAGTTCATCGACCCTAAGCATCCTATTCCATTGGCTTCTCATTAGGCTCTCAACTACTAGGCCTTGTTGATATTAAGATAACAATAGTATTTTGCTTACCATGGCCTATTTAAGGGAAATAAGACTGTGTATATTTTAGACCATTTGATCGAGTATCTAATAGACTCTACCGAGTTACTACTGTAGAATAGCTACCTACCTAAATACACCCCGTTCCCTACAAGCACAGCCTCTAGTTCCAGCCCCTACCTTCCGCACTTCTTATTCGTTGGGAAAGTTTAGCATAAACTTGATCCGATCTTTCTATACGGAACATGTTGTACAACTCTGGAGGCTATGACAACTCTGTTGATGCGCCACACCATGTAAGTAGGTTGATCTATAGAGATCCCCCTACCACTATCTATGCTTCGAAGGCCGAAATGCCCGAAGTGTGTCACCTTAGGCCTGGCCAGTTGCTATCTATTTTTGTTAGTACCTTCCCCCAGTACCGCAGCCCTATCGATTTCATAAGCATGCATATAGCGGATGCTCCCGGCGTACCCTTGTCCAACTCATAGGGCTAGTACATAAGACCAGCTCCTCCATCCTCGAGATCATTGTATTGATGGTTGACAGAATATCCCACACAGCAACTCGAGTATCAAAGAGTCTCTACTGACATTAGCATCAAGATGGCATCCTCAGAGCAACTACCGTCGACATACGCATCTGACGACTCTTACTACGGAGGCCCGCCACCATCTTCAGAGGCCCATAACGTGTCGTACTCCTCTTACCAAACGATCGCATCCCACAGGGCTCCGGAAAACCTGCTCGGTTTTCAAGGGCAGCCACTTCCTCCTGCTCCGGTCCCGAGCAACTCCCACTATGTTATGAGTGGTCACGGACCAACCGATGTGAACATGGGACCTTCCAGCGGGACACCATTTGCTGCACCCGTATCGGATCCCTTTGGCCTTCCATATTACCAGAGCGTAGCCCCTGATTCTAGGGCTTCCGATGCAGCCGATGCTTACCATCATGCCTACCCGCAAGGTTATGGAACGACAATGACAAGCCCACCTGCTTCGACAGTATCGGCCGGGTCTAGTCACAAGAAACATAAGCACGCATCGCGGTCGAAAAGATCTAGGCAACAGCAAGTGCTCTCACCAGGAAGCACATCCTCAGCGTCTAACTCGGGCAAATCCAGACTACGCAGTGCGTCTCGAACTAGCAAGAATACGCACCACAACCCCCCAGCATCAGCTGAGGAGCAAAAGAGCCGTGAGACACACAATCAGGTCGAAAAACAATACCGGAACAGACTCAACGCCCACTTCGAAAGCCTGTTGGATGCTCTACCAGAAACCATGCAAGCTGGGGAGGGTGAAGATGAGGGAGAGGCGTTGGACTTGACCGACCGCAGAGTGAGCAAGGCAGAAGTGCTAGACATGGCGCGGAGGCACATCCAAACCCTGGAGCGCGAATGTGCCGCCCTCGAAGGCGAAAGAGACGAACTACGAAATAATATGGCGAGACTACGGTGGCTCTTCGGACGGTGCGAGACGGCCGATGAATTCAACCAGCAGTTGAACTTCCAAGACCCGGGTAGTTTATCATGATTGTTACGAAGGGAGCAAAAAAGGGGTTAAAGTTAGGGCGGGATTTTGTTGAAATCTACAATCTTTCGATTCTTGTATGACTATTAGATCGGCTGTGGAGTTAATGGGTCAACAAGTGAGTTGATAGTCAGGAACTTCAACCAGGCACATATTTCTTTTCTGCAAATATTTCCGACTATGAATGGGAATAGGGATATGGAATTTATAGGTATATGAATACTTGACGGTGTGTCACGATTCGATTCCGAATTACTTACTGCAACAATTTACTCTTTCGAGGCCACTGATTTACGGTGTTTTCCCTTCAGAAGCTATTCCGAGCTGTATTTCAAATAGGACTTATGCACATGTACATGCTCTCCTTATTGTCACGTAAAATAGTTTCGCTGATATGTGGGCAGATGGATGATGGCATGGACCCACTTCTTGGGCTCCCGCTATGCCGTGTCCTGCTGTACTACTGTACAGTTAGCACTATTACTATTACTATCACCTAAGAACTTAAAAAAAGAAATCTCGCACTAACAAACCAGGAATTCATCGAGACACCACAAGCACTTACCGGGATAGGCAACTTATACCGGAGATAATAGTTCAAGTGCCGAGCAGGAATCTTCCTAAAGATAATATCATGGTTAACGGAAAGATCCTTGTTATCGCTGGAAGCGATTCAAGTGGTGGTGCGTAAGTTCATGATGTCCCTAATTCGCCCCCACACTTCCGCTAACAACTGCCCTTGATGTGAACTGTCAGTGGTCTCGAGGCAGATCAGAAAGTAATTGCAGCTCATGGCTGTTATGCTATGACCGCCACAACGGCCTTGACTGCTCAGAATACTACTGGTGTTGATGACATACATCATATACCCCCTGAGTTTGTGAGGAAACAGATCGATGCTGTCTTCAAGGATATTCCTCCGGATGTCGTAAAGACTGGTGAGTTAGGCTACTTAGAATCATGAACTTTGAAGCTTACCTAGATACCACCCAGGGATGTTGGCGTCTCCGCAGACTATTGAGATGGTGGCTCGAGCATTGAAGGATTATAAAGTCGAGACATTGGTGTTGGACCCTGTAAGGCCCTTTGTCTCACCTAATCCTGTACCGAAATTTGCATGGGTGGAACTTTAACAATAAGTAGGTCATGGTCGCAACCACGGGTGCCCAATTATTACCTTCGAAAGCTGTGACTGAGTTACGAGCTCTGTTGCTCCCGCAGACTTTCATTCTCACACCTAACATTCCCGAGGCGAAGCTCTTACTTTCGGAGGCTGGTAAGGGTGCTGTCGAAATTCAACATGTCGAGGACCTAGAAGTAATCGCCCGGAAAGTCCTAGAACTGGGACCTAAGTGGGTTCTCATCAAAGGCGGACATGTACCTTTTAAGAAGGACGGCTCGGTGGCTACGACTCCTCAAGAAAGAGAGCTAGTCGTCGATCTTCTGTTTGGAGAAGGGCAGGCTACAAGGATCGAGAGCCCTTATATAGATTCGAAGAATACACATGGAACGGGATGCTCACTTGCTTCTGCCATCGCCTCGAACCTCTCTAAGGGGTTGAAGCCTGTGAATGCAGTCAGAGCTGCCTGTCGATATGTCGAGGCAGGCATCAGATCCGCACCGGGATATGGGAGTGGAAATGGGCCTCTCAACCATTTCCATTCCGTTCAAGTCCTTCCTTTTGCTCCGTGAGTCCATCCTCGTATCTCATATAAATTTTGCTAATAGCGATGAAGTGGACGCTTTATAGAATATCTTCTCGAGCGACCCGACGTGTCCCCAGTATGGCGGTGCTTCATTGAACATCCGTTCGTTCTTGGCCTCGGAAACGGGGAATTACCCCTCCAATCGTTCAAGGGTTATTTGGTACAAGATTATTTATACCTGGTTCACTTTGCGAGAGCGAACGCATTGGCTTCCTACAAATCTAAGAGTATGGAAGATATCGCAGCGGTAGGTTGGTTTTCGATGAAATAGCGACCTCGCGTTGATATTTTATTTAGGGTGCTAAAATTGTGTCGCACATTCACACGGAGATGCAACTCCATATTGATTACTGCAAGGAATTCGGTATATCTATAGAGGAGATAAATGCAACCGAGGAGCATCAAGGTACGTGGTCTGTTCAGTGTTGGGTTTGGTTGCTGACTGGTAATAGCATGTACGGCGTATACGAGATATGTATTGGATATTGGGCAATCGGAGGATTGGCTCGGTCTTCAGGTAGCTCTTGCCCCGTGCCTACTCGGCTACGGAGCTCTCGCAAGGCAGCTCCACGCCGATCCGAGGACGAAAACGGAAGGCAACACCTACTGGAAATGGATATTGAATTACGTCGCCGATGATTACGTGCAGGCGGTGCAGACTGGATCAGGTAAGAACTACATAAGATCTTTTTGGTGGAACAGAAGTTGCACGGAATACTAACATAATTATTATCATTAGCTCTCATAGAGAAAAACGCTCTTCTACAATCTCCATCGAGGATAGAAGAGTTCGTCAAAATCTTCATACATGCTACAAAGGTAAGAAACTTATAGCATTATGCACTGTAACATTCTAACTTTGGAGTAGATGGAAATCGGATTTTGGGAGATGTTCCCTTCGGCTTAGAGTAATACGGAGCTTTTGTGATCGGATTTGTGCTAGAAAGACTGTGGGAATATGATAGAAGGAAATTTCGGGCATCCGACGGGGGGTTAGATGGACAGTATTAGATGGATAACAAAGAGAAAATATCGCGTATTCGAACTATGTGGAATCAGTAAGAGTATATGCTTTTTTGAGGAGATTAATTCGTTGAAATATTGCCATCAATCTAATGGTATTTTGCTTTTTACTGTATGTACAGTGTCGAGATACTTAGGTACATACCACCTGCTTGAGACACAGTGAGGCGTGCCTGGCCTAAAGAAACTATCAGCTGTCGCCGATTGGCAGGTCCAGTGCTATCGGATGACACTAACCAGAATAGGTGCCGTGGCGACGGGCTTGAGGCGGAAAAAGGCGTGTGCACGGACCAAGGAAGCAGCGTTGTTGGGCCTAGACTGTCACTTCCCTGGAGACTAAGAAAAAAAATAATTCTACTTGATTCAGGGTTTTCTTGCTCTTGCCTTGAAAAACTCATCGTCACGCCTTTCCTTCCATCAACACGATTTTCCTGTGTGCACTCTTCCTTCCCGTAATTCCTGCATTTTTCGCTCCTTTTAACGCAGATCGCACGCTGCACTCAAATCATATTTTCCCCTCATAAATTCAATCAGGGCACACATCGAGAGACCGCGTACTCTCCTACTTTGCGCCGTGTATTTTACTCTCGAGTTCTACACCTACCTAATCTTTTCTCACAGAACGCGAAGACGATAAAATGTCTTACGGCGGCGGCGGCTACGGCTCTCGTAATGGCGGTGGCCACGGAGGAGGTTATTCTAACGGTAACGACAAGTATGGTGGTGGTCACGGCGGTGGTCGTCAAGACCATGGTTATGGGTAAGAATATTCATTCCATTTATTTTTTTTCCTTTCGCGCTTCTTACTGCGGCAAACTCTCTCTACCCGATTATCAATACTGACCTTCTTCATCAGAAACGGCTACAGTAACGGCGGTGGCTACGGCAATGGAGGCGGATATGGTGGTGGTGGTGGCGGCGGTGACCGAATGTCCAACCTCGGAGCTGGACTTCACAAACAAAACTGGGGTATGTGATTCCAAAATGCTTATCATATCGGCCATTTTAACTAATCTATTTGTCATCTACAGATCTCAGCAGCCTTCCCAAATTCGAAAAATCCTTTTACAAGGAGGATGACGCAGTTGCTCGACGACCTGCTAGCGAAGTCGAGCGCTTCCGACGAGATCATCAGATCACCATTTCCGGTAGCAATGTTCCCAAACCCGTTGAGACCTTCGATGAGGCTGGATTCCCTCGATACGTGATGGATGAGGTCAAGGCACAGGGTTTCCCCGCTCCTACAGCCATTCAATCCCAAGGTTGGCCAATGGCTCTCTCCGGTCGTGATGTCGTCGGTATTGCCGAGACGGGCTCCGGTAAGACGCTAACCTACTGCCTTCCTGCAATTGTCCATATCAATGCACAGCCTCTTCTAGCACCTGGCGATGGTCCCATCGTACTTGTGCTCGCGCCTACGCGAGAGTTGGCTGTCCAAATCCAACAGGAGATTACTAAGTTCGGTAAATCTTCTCGTATCCGTAACACTTGTGTTTACGGAGGTGTTCCCCGAGGTCCCCAGATCCGCGACCTTACTAAGGGTGTTGAGGTCTGCATCGCAACACCCGGACGTCTGATCGACATGCTGGAGGGTGGCAAGACCAACTTGCGCCGAGTGACCTATCTAGTCCTCGACGAAGCTGATCGAATGCTAGATATGGGTTTCGAGCCCCAAATTCGCAAGATTATTAGTCAGATTCGACCTGACCGTCAAACCCTCATGTGGTCCGCGACGTGGCCCAAGGAAGTCCGCGCACTGGCCGCTGAGTTCCAAACCGACTTCATCCAGGTTAACATTGGTTCCATGGATTTGTCTGCTAACCATCGTATTACCCAAATTGTTGAGGTAGTATCTGAGTCTGAGAAGCGCGATCGTATGATCAAGCACCTTGAGAAGATCATGGACAACAAGGAGAACAAAGCTCTCGTCTTCGTAGGTACCAAGCGAACAGCGGACGAAATCACCCGCTTCTTGCGTCAAGATGGCTGGCCCGCCCTCTGTAAGTTCTTATACATTCTATCTTTCGATATAACTCGAGACTAACCTGTGACTAGCGATTCACGGTGACAAGCAACAGAATGAGCGTGATTGGGTCCTCGACCAGTTCAAGACTGGAAAGAGTCCCATCATGGTGGCCACCGATGTGGCTTCACGTGGTATTGGTATGATTGAAAACCCCCTCCCCTCCCTTCCCCCTCGTAGCAACTTCCAGCAGAGTTATATCCGCTGTGCTTTACTCTCATGTTTAGGGGCTCTCTAGATTGCGCGCATTTGCCTGAACTCCCATTGTGTCTCGTGGTTCTCATCTAAACAGGAATTTTGGGGTCCATGTTGTAGCGGAAGCCGCTACATCCCTATTCCGCTGTTGTACCTCACTGTCCCTATGGTACAATTGTGGGGTTGGCATTTCTTGATTTTGTCAAGCTGTCTCCAGACTCCCAGATCCGAGGACCCAGACCGGATTGTTGGAACTTCCTCCAAACTGGCAAGAGGTGATGCAACAGGTAGCCCCGTTCTCCAACGTGAAAAGCACGGAAAGTATACTTAGGCACCGTCCGTCTGTCGCTGGGACTTGTTACACAATCCTTGCTTCGCCATGGCTAACATACAATCGTAATTAAGATGTGCGCAACATCACTCATGTGATCAACTATGACTATCCCAACAACTCTGAGGATTACATCCACCGTATCGGCCGAACTGGTCGTGCTGGCGCCAAAGGCACAGCCATCACTCTCTTTACCACTGACAGTAAGTTAATCCATTTCGAAACTCACGGGCGCAATTACTAACAACGAATTTTAGACTCTAAGCAGGCTCGTGATCTAGTCTCTGTCCTACAGGAAGCTAAACAGCAGATTGATCCTAGATTACATGAGATGACCCGCTACGGTGGCGGTGGTGGCGGCGGTCGTTACGGCGGCCGAGGTTTTGGCCGCGGCGGTCACCGAGGTACGTTATAATGTCCTAACAACATTTAAATCTTGACAAGTACTGACATCCCTTAACAGGCGGTGGCGGCGGTGGTGGCGGTGGTGGTGCTAACGCAATGCCTATCAACAACCGACGATGGTGATAAACTATCCAAAAAGTTCTTTCGCCATTATTACTTACACATCATATTTCCCATCAACCGCATCTGATATTTTTTTTCTTTCCTTTTCTTCATTTGCACATATGCACAGGTGGCGTTGCGTCTAGAGGTTCGGATGTTTAGATGTCTTTCATGTCAACACTCCACGAAGTGTTCGCATCTCTTCGCTGAGAACTGCATAACCTGCCCTCCTAATTTCGCCCCGACAAAAGGACGGAAAATGATTTCAGGTGTTGTATGACGGAACAAGTTGCGGGAAAACCCACGAAAACAGGTACAGCAGATACTAAATTCTGCTCTGATTTTTGCAGAAGCACTCCTAGTCTTGAGTTCATACTACTTGCCAGTTCTTGGCCTTAGGTCATGAAAGAGGTACGTCGCTTACTGACTCGGTAACAGATTGGAGCTGCTCAAAAATGACCCGTGTCGAGGTCGCATATTTAGGTAGACTTTACTCTGCTTTGTTCTCGCTAGGAGGCAATGCAATTGATTACATAGTAAGAATTAAGTCTGCATTTTGAGAATGTTATACACTAGGGTTGATTGCATCAAATACCTATGATTGATCCTGAGAATTCTAGAAATTCTTTCGGGTCAGGATTTTTTGTTATTCATGCTCACAAGGACACCCTATTCTTAGAGCGTGCGCGTCATTTGAGCAGTATTTTCGGTAGTATTGCCGACCAAGACTGATTAAGAGGTCCGAATAGGGTCGATTTCAACGCATCTAAGTGGTCCTTTCAATATAACCGAGAATGACTTCTTTTTATCCGCAAACGCAGGGGTCGTCTTCCCCATACCCGGTAAACGCAACGACATATTCCGTCTCGGTTTAGGCTTCGTGGTTGACCCTTGGCAATATCTCTATAAGATGGCGGTCTTCCTCGTCTTCGTGTTAGTTAGGTGTAAGTGCTGTGCCTTGTATCCGTAGGCTTCCGTACTCACCTTCTTGGCGACCCTTTCCGCTGTCTATTATCTAGTAATATAAGTCATATTCACTCAAGAATATCATCAGCAAAAATGAAGGCTGCCACAGCATTCGCACTTCTTGTGGCCGGCGCCCAGGCCGCTCCGCATTGTACGTAAACCTGATGTCTAATACCATTCTCATATACCAGGTAGAAACAACACGAACTATATCGTATACGCCTTATAAAAGACATAAATCTGACTGAAATCTCATTCTTTAGACACCTTTCCCAAGCTTGCTGGCACGTCGGACTGGTCTTCGGTGCGCACGACGGCCAACTTCCAGTCCAACGGTCCCGTGACCGATGTCAACTCGGACGCAATCCGCTGCTACCAGCGGGACGCCGGTGGTGCTCCCGACACCACTCAGGTGAAGGCCGGTGGGCAGATCACTTGGGTCGCTGCTCCGAACATCTACCACCCTGGAGGGTACGTATCTACGTTTCCTAGCCGCAAATGGGAATGAAGAGAGGTGATCTACATACGCCGAGACTCGTTTCTATCATGGGTCTCTGGTTTGCTTGAGGCTCATCCTTATTCCTATTCGCCGGTCCCTTCATGTATAAATCGCTACTAGAGAAAATATGCTAACGTATTGATTGCAGTATGTTCCTACCCATATAGATAAAAAACATCAATAACTAGAATAAACATCGTATGAGTCGCTAACATAATATGCCTGCAACAAGCTCTCTCCGCCTACATGGCCAAGGTCCCTTCAGGCCAGACCGCCGCCGACTTCGACGGCAAGGGCAAGGTGTGGTTTAAGGTATACCAGGACATGCCGACAACCTCCGGCGGCCAATACACATGGCCATCAAACGGTACATCCTTCTTCCCTCCTGTCCCTCCCCTTCAACTAACAAACAAAAACAGGCAAGGCCCAAGTGAGCTTCACCGTCCCACAGTGCCTGGCGGAGGGCGACTACCTTTTCCGCATCGAGCACGTAGCTCTGCATAGCGCGAGCGCGGCCGGCGGCGCCCAATTCTACATCTCCTGCGCGCAGGTTCACGTCAGCGGCGGCTCCGGCTCGGCCCAACCTAAGGACCTTGTCTCCTTCCCCGGCGCATACAAGGCTACTGACCCCGGTCTAATGATTAATATCTACAACAACGGCGGCAAGGCGTACCAGCCCGCCGGCCCGTCGGTCTTTACTTGCTAGATAGAGAGTAGACACTCATTAGCCAATTGGCTGTTTGTTTAGGATTATGACAAGCAATCAGGCTTTTGGATTTATGAGTATATACCTAGGTAGTTAAGACAAGTATAATGATATCTTTGAAACGTTGTATTACCAATTAGTATCGGCTATCGATGGTAGGAACACCATCCTACCCGACAGCGCTACCGAGGAGTTACCCTTCATGATTGCAGGTATCGTGTAATTGGCTGGTTGGTGTATAATACTTCGCCCTCACGTGTCTTGGAAGTATATACCCCCTTAGGGTATCAATAATATTGGATCTGTCTAGGTAATAATTATTGACGCCACTGGAAGTTCATCGTGCTTCCTTACTCTCCCTTGAGTCTCTATACTTCATGCAGGCGCTTATTCGTTTGCTAGCCCCTGAATGACAAGCGCCTAACGCCATGACTCGCTTTCACCGCCCCCAACTTCAACCCCAGCTTCAAACGGCAATGAATATCCGGATCGAGTCAAGAAAAATTCTAGATTCGGGTTTCTACCTCATTAAGTTGGTGCAATGGTATAACGCCGTAGGATCTCGGGACCGTCATTGAGGGCCCTAGATGGGGAGATACGTTCTCGATTATCTGACCAAGTGACCCAAAATCTCCTCCTCAGCCTGCAGGTCGACCACACGAGTCAGCTTATCTAGGATTTACGGAGAACTTACGGTAATAAGGGGGGCCGCATGCTGACACATGATACTGAGGGGTCTTTTTCATTTTCACATCGTTGTTGCCCGCCTTCCGCTTGTAGGCAGAGCCCAATTCGTAAAATACTTCCATATGCTGAGAGCGGCGTCCAACACCAAGCCCATCAGATGATGATGGTGCCCAACGATGAGGCGGATAGTAATTCCGCTTCATATTAGATTACGAATTCGCTTATACGTCAGATTAAGAAGGTGTTAAAACTTACCTAAGTACTTACTTTACCTGGCATATAATTCATCAGCTATATGACTACGTCCGGTTGGAAGTACCTATGCGGCTGCGTCTTTGTCATCATATCTATAATATTCTAGTTATATCAAGCAGGATAATAGGATAGATTGCAAATACGGGTGTTGAGAGCATTAATTGCATCAGATATTGGAGCACCGAGTTGTTATTTAGTATGTATTGGAATATTTGTCATGAAGCACCCCAACTCTATTTCCATCCACTTCGGCTTTGTCATCAGATAAAAAGCGCCGAGATTTTGATATATGCCTCATCGTGAGACTCCTCGGCTTCTTGACAGCATTGCGTACGAATACTTGGCTTGGACCTCACCGCTCGTATAAGCCTCGGTTTCAGGAAAGGAGACCACGGAGAAGCCGACAAAACTCAACATCAGTTATCAGTAAACAATGATGAAGGATGTTTAAGCATTGTATTTCCATGGTTTCTGGGGTACTAATGTATGCCAAGGTGAGATATGTGGTTCGCCAGTTCACAGCAATGCAGTACATGTCCGACTTTCGATCAATGAGATACTCCTATTGAAGTCCATTTACGCTCATGATGACGGGAGGCAAGATTGACTTTACACTCCGCTTGATCCGAAACTCTCTGCGCTCGTAAGTTAAGTTTGCTGGGTTGTCGAGGCGAGATCCAAGAATATATGTGGCTTAATGTAGGGGAGAAGTCAATATCCTATGCATCGCGACGGGTAACACCGAGAAAAATCCAGGCATCGTTGTTCCTAGTGGCCAAATCATTGTTAATATTTCCCTTGAATTCTATTTTTCCCTCTGTACCATCTAGCTGTATGTTCGCCAGGATGGCTACTGGACCCGGCCTACCTATGTCGCAGTTGAGGCGTTACCCTCAATTTGTTTGTACCACCTTAAACAGACGGTGACATTATGCAGAATACTAAATTATTGGGATTACTGATCGCCACAAAACATGCCAGCATTTCCAGTAGAATATTCCACGGACATGGGCTCTCCGTGGCATCTGAGTGGCTGCAGGCAATCATCAAAGAGGAATAAGCAGAAGCCAAACGCGAAGTGCCGGTTAAGGGGGCGAGGACAACAGCAACGACAACAAAGAGGAATATGTTTCGCAATGGCTGGTGATATATGATAGAAGAGACTGTTACCGCTTGAATAATAGCGCCCGTTGGCTAGAGCAAGCCAGGGAGTTGTCATGTATGCAAGCCACAATCCAATCTATCACCTTCGTGGACTCTTTTATGATTGGTTCTTTCGACTATTCCACACACCTTCGGGGGTTGACCGACATTTGCGGGCCAGAAAGCGCTGCTGTAACACGACATAACACAACATAGACGAGCTGACAATTTGACGTGCGGTTGGACGCACGGCCTACATACCGAGGATCATCATATGACTTAGAGGGACGTCCCTACATACATACATGCCACCATGGCTCGCGTTTACTGAGTTACCTACCTAGGGAGGAAATCTATAAAAAAAAACATACATTTATCTTGAAGATAAAAGTGAAAACACGTCCGTGGGACGCAATCCGAGAGACCGAATCAATACTTCTCCCACTTCCAATCATAGATCCTTTGCTTCTTTGCTATGTCCATTCTCGGCAATCCGACATTCGGAATGCCCATTCGGGACGAGCAATGGCCAGAGCCGATCTGTCGGCATTTCGCGACCACAATTAAAAAGTCGGGTATGGATCTGTAAAAAGTGATAGACGGCCGTGTGGCGTCGAGGTTGGATGGTTACAACAAAAAAGGGGCAACGCAACGGCTGAATAATTATAACAAACAAAAATCAACAAAAAATATCTAATCTCCTCCCATACATATAAATATTAACCAATTAGCCTTAAGAGGAGATATCTTTCTTGTGGCAACCCGTAAAAACGAGAGCTCAATTTTACCACGCGGTTCGGTCCTTTACCACGCAGCCCCAGCTGTGCTAAATGTCATTGTGATGAGCTAACTCTCCACTATGACCTACATAACCCCCTAGACGAGGATCGCAACTTGGCCGAAAAAAAAGCAGAAAAAGAAAAAGGAACAAACTTGCATACGTCAAGTTCGGGTTGTTTGGCCGAAGGAAAGTAGCTAAGGAGGTAAGGAGGAAGGGATATGTGATGATAGGAACGGGACGGCGCGGTATTTACGATCACGTATTCATTCTGGTAATTAATACAAAACACGTTGCTAACGAGATCAATTTTGCTAAAAGAGGGAGCCCGGGGTAATCAATGTGTCGTCTCTGATTCGAGATAGATTTTTGGTTGCGAAAGAGGAACGGACTAAATCTCTCATTCGGAAGTAACCCATAAAGTCCGAAAGCCCGTCCTTCTCATCAAAGAAATGTGATAAAGGAGGAGGATAATGTCATGTTGCTATTCATATAAGTAATTGAACGTATCGACTTTTTTTTACGCAACCATTAGGGAAGGAGTACATTTTCCTCGGTTGGGAGGAGTAGTAGATACAACGCGAATACGTAAAGACTTGGTTGGTTTCTCAAAGAAGATAAAATTCGTTGACGTCAATGGCGCTCGAGGTCACCCTATGTGGTCTTGACAACTCGTTCATCACCCTTGTAAGGGCACCTGGCCATTTTCCTGCTTTCCTTGAATTTCATTATCCACCTTGTGGGTTTGCTTGCATGTCGTACCATACATTGGAAGTAACTAGGATTCTGAATTGGCGTATGAGGTATCCAGAGACTTACTTACTGGTTCCCAGCCGCCCAAAAAGTCGTCAGTAGTACATAGGTAGGTTGGCAGAGCTGAGAGGTTCGTAGGTTGAGAGTGATCGGCGCTGCAGCGCTTGGCACAGCAGGGGTTGCTAGAGATCAGCTTTCCGCATCGGGTCAATCTGATATTCCCAATAGATTTGGATCGCTTCGGAAAGAGGAATTATATCTTGTTCTCATATACATAACCGCCGTCTGAACCAGGTATCCAGGTTTTTGTCCTCGATCGATTTGTAGGCACATTACCAAGGCGGGGTGTGTGCCCACGCCCACAATGGGACTTTTGGATCCCCCCCCCCCCCCCCCGTCCTAACCGGGAGCTTGGCTTTGTTATCCTATTTGCTGATTTGGTCGCCGTTCATCTGTGGCGCCATGCTCTCTCCCGCGGTGGAGAGCGGAATTAGAATAATTGAATAATAGCAACAGCGCGGAAAACTGGGTAGTCTTTGAAACGAACCCTCGACAATCGAGGTTGTTTAGCGATGTTGGAGAATGGATTAGATCACGATTCTTGGCAATTATTGGTGGCGTAATTATGGATTTGTTCAGCTTGACTCAAAATCCTTTGATTTTAATTTTTTCGTCAGCCGCAGATTTGTATTGTGCACTGTAAGGTCTCAAGTCTCCAAAAAGAGATCCTCTATCTATAACTTAGGAGTCGGATGAACTCGACGGTAAAATGCACGATCTAGGAAATACTACCGTTTTTGACGCAACTTGCTTGCTACATACAGCTGAAACACTAGGATGTGTTTCTTACTGAAAGCCTTAGACCCTCTTAGGCTGTTGTCTAGACGGGGGGAGGGGGGCCTGGCAAGACATATCTAACGCAAAGACACAGCATTAACGTGGCCAGGTTATATGTCAGACGTGCAGAATCAACGCAGGACCCTGAGACTTTGAAAAGAGAGTGTGTCGATTACCATGTCCCGCGTAGATACATAGGAATGCTCACGTCTCGTATTCGTTGGGTTGTTATAAGTCTCAGAAATGAAATTATGTAACGGTAAAGAGATAAATCAGTAAGCACGGCTGGAGAGGTAATCCGAATAAAGAGAAAAAAGAAAGCAGAGATCGGACCTGGATTATTCCCTCGGAGTCGAGGATTGGCTACATGTACTGTACAAACAAGGCATACCGGCATATATATGTATGTCTCTGGCACATATACCTTATTTGGTTAAAGAGAGGCGTGGCTTGGAGATAGGCGCCAGTCGTCGATTTAGAAGCCTTCATTTTTTTGATCTTTTATTTTTCGCTACCAGAATGACGGGTGAGACTAATCAACTTGGCCCTGTGGGGAATGAAATAGCCGAAAGAGATAGATCCCAAAAATGTTGATGTGACCCAATTGCACGGGCTCGAGAAAGATGATTGGCATTGGGGAAAAATATAATACCTAGCGCCCAGTTGTAAGATCACTGGTTTGGATGGATCTAAGATCTCAGCCCAACTTGGTGTGTTTTTCATGCACACTCCAACAATTCGGGACGTGATAGGGGGCTGTTGTTGAGTAAGGGTACTATAGCGAAATCACGACATCACGCTCTTCCCACCTATCGTCTTCCGTGATTGACTGGCCTTTTTACAATTACTGGTATCCATACAGTGTGTTGTAACTG